CACCTGAACTTGATTCCATAAGTTCGTATAGGATTCATAACGTCTTATTATTATTCATGCGATAAAATTAATTATTTGATATCTCATTTATTACCATATTTTTCTAGAACTCGCTGACTCTTATTTTATCCAAATTTGGACTAGGGTTATAAATTTCAAGTTACTACTAAAAAGTTTTATGATCCAAAAATTTTCGCTGGTGGATTTTTTATGACGACGAGAACAAGTCCTTTTAAAGATACCAATTTACCCATTAATCATTCTGAGTGAAAAACATAGGGAAACATAGGCTACAGTAAGAGAGGAGTAGTACATGAATCGTAAAATCATTGAACATCCGGGATACTTATCTAGCATGTCCTTCCATTAAAATTTCGCAGACTTAATCTCTTTAGTCTTCAGCTCTCAGACATCAAAATCAAGGATAGCAACCGGTTCTTCCTTTTCACGACCCGCATACATACCCTAGAAGTTAGGATATTCATAGGTCATGGCATGGCATACTTGATCTCTCAAAGGTCTTATACAAGCCTTTCATATCATTCATCTCATATACATATATGAAAAGTAGTGTGGAATTAAAACATTTCACAACATTCGAATAGTCTTTCAAAATATCTTTTCTATAAAAACCACAGGAAATACTAAATCTCATATCATCAAATCCTTGACACAAGAATAGTTGGGACACGTCCCACACATCAAAATATAGTATTAGTAAGTCTATTACAATACTTCAAAATAAGAAATCACAAGAAATACTTGCCCTCAAGTCAAATGAGGACATATATTAATCTTGCTTGAAAGACCATATAATCCAATCTTTGCTCCCAAAACTCCCTTCACCTTTGCTATATTTTAGAGATATATAAAAGTATGGAATTAGTAGAAACACATGTACTGAGTATGACTTAACATTTATTTGAAACATGCTCTTTTTTATTAAAACAGAATAGTATAAGCATAAGAATAAAATTTAACACCTTAGAAACATATAATATATCACATAAGCATTTTATCTCATTTTAAGAAATATTATAGTAAGCCTAGCAAAGTTATAGTGAGCTAAGCTTAACTTCACAATGAACCCATTTAGAATGAAACCCTCTCACTTAAAAGCTATCCTATGACTCACTTAAGAAAGACAAAGAGATACTGCCCATACACCCTCTCTAGGCACAACATAAATGATACTTAAGACCACATATAGTGAGATAAATACACTTAGTATACACAAAACACATAAACATGAGATCTTCCTACCATAGGTGACTCTAAGGTTCACTTGAGTGAGTTAAGAAGCGACCTCCCATAATATCCCTTCACATACACTTAAGAGATATTAGATTACCTAGGATAAGATATTTCTCACTTTATAAACTAACATACGTATAATATGACATTATCCTTCCCAAAGGTTATAAAAATACTTATGTAAGTAACTCTAGAAGAGAACGTCCATACTTGACCTCTCCAAGATTACCTAAATAATCCTTAAGACTACCTAAGTTTGGATCATGTCTAATGTATCAACAAACTTTTGTATCTAGATTTTTTATTAAGAATTCCATAGGTAATATATGAAGTGACCATTCCTATGCCCACTTCACACCTTAACTGGACAACTGTTAAACTACTCTAGGTAAGCACTCATTCATTTAACATGCTTTTTAACTTAAGTCATCATCTTCTTTTGTTCATTTAAGATATATTCATCACATAACGACATTAAAGTAATGGTCGTGGAGAAGACCTGTGGACTCACTCACTAACAACTTCAAAGCTTATCGTGAATGTCTAGATAGCGTCCCATACCACCACCTAAAATTCATAGAACTTCTCCAATACTAGTAGGTATCCCATATGATGATAATAGGCAATAACAGATATAGACTATGATGGAAAGGCATGAATTCGGAGTTGTAACCTACTCTGATGGAGGATGTTCTACTTGCCAATGGTAGAACTTGGACACATCTCATGTAGGCACATGGTTAAGAAATATAAAGGGTTTCTTTATAATCTAGTGTCATCCTTATCTATAAATACTTCCCAAACCATACTCATTTGGTGCTAGCCTTTGTTCTCATAAAGTAATTCAATAAAGAATCACATGAAGACGTTCCAAATCCAGTTCATAACCCAATCACATTCACCTTACCAATGAGGTCCCTTAGGGTTTCGTCATAATGGTTAAGACGATAGCTCAATGAATTTCCTAAGGATGATTTCATGGCATTCAACCCAACTAACCTGAAGTCCACCATTCAAAAAATAACGATACCATTACGTCTTTCGACTTCAAGGATATCATAATTTTACAACTAGGTTAAAGGTTACACATAAAGGACCTTCTTAACAATGTTCAAGATCACATGTCGTTCATACATACATGACTAAGAGGCTTTAGTATCCTATGTCAAGAAGTCATATTCTCATTATACATGTATCAAGTAAGGGACTTAGATCTACCTAAAGAAGACACATTAATACTTTAACTTATCACATATAGCATATCTTTCAAGTAGCACATAAGAATAACCAAGTCAACTTTAGGTCACCCTATACACTACTATAGGATTATAAACATAACCATCACAAGACTCATATAGGAAATTAGGAATAATAATGAATCAACTCTAAGACTACACACATAAGGACATAGTCATTGTCTAACATAATCACCTAACATCAATAGAAGAACACATGATTTCACCTTAATCACAAGTAGATGGATATTGTAAAATTTCACATAAATCACTACAAAAATCATCATAATATACCAAGTAAAATCGACAAGGCCATGATAATCATAATACATAAAGTAACATCGATGAGCACATAATTCACAAGTAAAATAGCACCGCCACCATAAGTGGACAATACCAATCAAAAAATAATTCAAGACCTAAATTACATAAAATAAAGATAAATAGGACAGTGTAGAACCAATCTATTCTCACTACTTAAATCCATATCTAAATCATCTAATACAATACCAAAAGGCCCTTACCCATGGTCATGATCATCAATTCAATACAAAGATCATAATACTCAATGAATCAAATACAATTCAATATATTATTATCAATCTATGACATCCTATACATCAATCCAATACAATTCTTACATCATTGAGTATCCCAAGAAGAACTACACTAGAATTCAAAAGCATTAAGAAATAATCAAGTCACCCACAAAGTAGCTAAAAACTAGCGTTCATGAGTTACATGGGTTCATACATTAATTAGGTTAAAATAATATAATTAACATTAATTCAATCAATATATAATTATTCAAAAAGATTTATGCAGGAACCCATGGATAGATATCAAAATTGGACAAGTTCGTCTTTGAAAGACTTCAGAATTCACTTTGAAGTTTGGCTCCTTGATGAAAAGATGTTCAGGGATGAAGAACCATACCTTAACTGATGTTAATCCACGCAAATTAAGAAAAATTGGTGGAGAAATCTACCTTCAAGCTTTAATCTCCGTTCTAACTTCAATGAAACTCTAGAGAGCTATTTAGAGGTTATGGTCTTTTATTTTAGAATAATGAATTTATCTAGGTGTTAGGACTTATAACCCTCTTAAAATACTTATAATAACCTTAGGAAGCCACCTAAATAATTATTTGGATATAAGGTAAAATTACCACTTCACTCCTTCACTTTACAGTGAACTGCGCAGAAGAAAGACCCAGCGCTGCCTGCCATCTCGACGGGCCATTTGTCCAACGACGGGCCGTCATGGATGGACGTCGTTTTGTTCAGAGGATGTCATGTGGGAGCTTAATCTTTCTATTATAATTATTGATCCACGCCTTCCACTGATCGGCGTCAACAATCCTACTAGCCATCGATTGCCTAAGTCGTTTGGGGCTGGTCTAGACAGACTTTACCTCTAGTGAAGAGTCCTTCCTCAAGGACCCTTGGTTGTTCCTTGGGGACTTTTTTCTAGACGTTTCCAACTCGAATATGCTCGTATATTATTTTAGGACCTCCAACACAAATTTCATCCAAAACTAACACATAAAAATCAACGAAACATACTAAGACACACAAGGTTGTTTAATGGTAAACCCTTGGAACGTCATGGACGTTTCACCTCCAAACACCATGAATTTCAACACATGTCTATACAAACTATTGTAACTAATATATTGACCTAACAAATCTTAAATCACACATAAAATCACATAAAAAAACATAAGGCATATAGGTGACTAGTCGTCAAACGTCTTGGTCATCCCTTAATAGTTGACTTCCAATTCACCTAATTCTTTAGACACTGCCTCATTACCACATTATAAACAATTTTAGTACCTGAGACTCTGATGACAAACATTTTAGGCTCTAGTTTCACCTAAGTCATTTTAGAGGTATTACACTATTAATATTGAAGGTCTTTGTCTAACAACACTCAGTCCATTTTATGATGTAATTGTCGTCACCATGATATCTCTTCAAGAGGGTCACATGAAATACCAATTGAACACATGATAGGGTAAGTGGTAAAGCCAATTTATACGCTATTGTCTCTACACAATTAAAATCTCAAATGGACTAATGTATCGAGGACAAATCTTGCCCTTCTTCCAAAATGTCATCACCCCTTTCATGGTGATAGTTCTAGAAGAACATAATTCACCAGTCCTAAATGCCACCTCTTTTACCTTATGGTCCCGCACACATTTTCTGTGTACTCTAGGTTCCTAAAAGCTTATCTTGGATACTCCTCCCTTATATTGATCATAATTGTCTAAATCCGCCTCCAAAGGTTTCACATCACTCACACAATCCCAAAGTCAATCACACTCTCCCTCAACATGTACTCTAACATTTGGATAGTTCTCCTTGACTGCCTTTCGGTATGTGAATGAAAAAATTGTAATAAAAGTGAGTTTTGAGAAAAATTCATCACGTAATTTCCTCCAAAAATTTGATGTGAACCGCATAGCACGGTCTGAGATGATAGAGCGAGTCACCCCGTGCATCCTCACTTTATATTCACATAAACCTTAGCCAATTGTTGAGCATTATAATCTATTCTAACAGGAATAAAATTCACTGACTTAATCAATCTGTCAACAACTAACCATATAGAATCAAACTTTCCCACAGTCTTGGGAATACCAACCACAAAATCCGTATCTATGATTTCCAACTTCCATTCTAGAATTGGCATTCTCTGAAGCAAACCTGACGGCATTTGAGGATCATATTTCACTTGTTGGCAATTGTGGCACTTAGCCATAAACTCCGATATATCTTCATTCCTTCCATGGAACCAATATAGTCACTTCAAGTCTTGATACATATTGGTCACACAAGGATGAATGGAATACCGTGAATCAAGGGATTCTTTCAATAACTTGTGAATCAAGTCACCTACTCTAGGAATACAAATCCTTCCTTTAAAGGTGAGCACACAAATTGCGTCAAGAGTTTTGTCTTGTGCTTTGCCAGACATTGTCTTATTTATAAGCTCATTTGACATGACAGATTTCTCATCTCAAGTTAATCAGGCCAGCCTAATGATCTTTTAGAATGGGGGATCCCCGTTATCAACAACCACGGTAGTAGTTGTGGAACTAATGGGTCGGGATCCTACAATGATAAATAGAATCCCCAAGAAAATACCACTAGATCGAGCACCAATGATTTCGTATCCGGTAAATATCTTGTCTAACTGATCAAAGTGGGTAGCTCTGACCTGATTTACCCCTTCTCGTTGGATGACCGGATCTTTCTTAGACTTGGTGAACTCCTGTCGAGATGAATTAAACTCCGTTCCATGCCCCACGAAATTTTCATTGTCAAACTGTTTTGCCTTGATCTCTTCAGTGAATGTGGTTGTTACTTCAATGCTAGTTAATACCCCAACATTGAGATATCCAACTGCATGAACTTAGACTCCAAGGTTTGAATTTCATTAGCCAAAGGTCGCTTGGATGCACTCAAGAAAGTTATACTACACATACTCACCACCTTCTGGCTAAGTGCGTATGCCACTACATTAGCCTTATTTTGATTATGGTCACATTAAAATCATTCAGTAACTCCATCCACCTTCATATCTCAAATTCAGATCTTTTGAATGAGCTCATGTTGTATACTAGGATGATAAGTAAACACTTCACACTTGACACCATAGAAGCAATGCCGCCAGATCTTAAGAGAAAACACTACCGCTTCCAATTCTAAATCACGGGTGTAGTAACTCCTCTCATGCATCTTTAACTTCTGAGATATATAAGCTATAACATTCTTATCTTGCATTACCACAACACCCAATCAACTTGTACCTGTCCTAACTATTCAAAATAATGATGATACCAAAGGGCTTAGGCCCAAACAAAATACAACATTTTTATAAGCAAATGTTTTGGACTCTTTGTCCAAATCTTTTGATTTCTTTGATCTTCTTCGATTCCTTAAACCTCGGTACCTGTTCATCAATTTCGTGACTGGATTCGATGACGATAAATGTGATACTTTGTGACCCTCTCTCGAAATGCAAGGGAGATGAGAGTTTATAGTAAGCTCAAACAAATTTTTACATGAGGCCCAAAAATAAAGATACATTAATACTATGTCATAGAATATCGAGCATATTTATTTACACAAAATGTTCATAACAGAAGTCTACAATAACTTGACAATAATCAATTAGAAGGGTAGTTCTATAATATGGGTATGCAACACAAGAGATGACATTAAATCATGATCATATAATGAAGACAAAAGTCTGAACATACCAGTCCTTCTTAAAAATAGCCAACATTCAATATTAAGGTAATAGTGAATAGTAGAGAGTGACAAATATTAAAAGAAGAAAAAAGAAAAGACAAGCAAAAAAATCTTAAATTGACACAATGAAAACCATAAATGACCTAAAATTTCATGCTTCCTTATGACTAAACAAACAGTAAGCAACTCTTGTAATACTAAAAGAATAAATGTTTAAACCTATGTTAGAATTGGCATTATAATAGACAATAAATTTTAACAATCCATTGGCATTCATAGAATAGGTATGGTGATCAAAAGGGTCTTGAGCTTTTGAAAGCCCTCCTCATATTTTTCACTCCATTAAAAAGGTACCTCCTTTTTGGTCAACCTTGTTTGATGTGGAAATAGAAACAAAGTTCTTCACAAATAAACAATAGTAGATAGTGAGCCCAACAAACTCCTAACTTTAGTCATAAAGTTAGGCCAAATTTGATTCTTAATAACTTTAATCTTTTGGGGATCTACCATTAGCCCTTCCCTTGAAACTACATGCCCCAAAACGGCAATCAAAGTCAAGCGAAATTCACAATTAATAAATTCTGCATGCAAGTTTTGTTTACCAAAGAAACCCACAACAATACAAAGAAGATCGACATGCTCTTCTTTACTTTTCGAATAAACCAAAATATCATCAATAAATTTTATAACCAACTAATAAATAAATTTTTTGAACAAACCATTCATCAAACTCAAGAAATTTGTAGGCACATTTGTCAACCCAAAAGACATCACTAAAGACTTGTAGTGCCCATAGAGGGTCCTAATTGTTGGCCTAATCTCTAGTTGATGGTTACCAGACCAGAGATGAATCTGAAATAAAATTGTTGAGCCTTTTAACTTGTCGAAAAGGTCATCTATTCGAGGAAATGGGTACTTCTTTCGAATGGTGACCCTATTCAATTATTGTAAATCTATGCCGATCCTCATACTACTACCTTTTTCCTTCAAAAACAAGATAGGAGCAACCCATGCGGATGCTCTAGGACAGCTAAAACCTTTATCGAGAATTTCTTGGATTCGATCCTTAAGCTCTCTCAATTCAACGGAGGTATGCAATATGGAGGGATGTAAATGGGGAGGGTACCATGTTTCAAATCAATGCAAAAATTTATATTTCTATATGGAGGCATACCAACAAAATCTAAAGGAAACAGTTCTCTAAATTTTGACCACAACAATAGAGGGAGACTCAAGCTCAACATCTCGAATATGAGACAAATAAGGCAAACAACCTGCCCAACGGTTTCCTACAGCAACAGCTTAGGCTTGTACTATCCTTCACACTCTAACTTTGCCTTACCCAAAATTTCTAGAGTCAGAAACTGAGGCACAACATAATAGGGGGGACATCTTAGGAATGCTTAATATTATATCAAAGTCAAGTCATATCCAAAATCACCAAATCATCCCAAGTTTGAAACCCATAACAAGATAGGAAAAACACAATAGACATGAGTGACTATTACATGCTCTCCAACATGAGTAAAAACATGGATGGGGGCATAAAGTACATCACAAATAATATTTAATCCTAAGTGAGACTAAACGACACATAAGAATAATTAGAACCCCGATCAAAAAACATATTAGCTATTTAGTCATAGAAAAGAAAAGTACCCATCATCATTGCATCAGATGTCTCCGCCTCAGTCTTTCCTAGAACATAATACTGAGCTATGTCATTATGACGGGAAACTTCCTTGCCTGGCTGCACTTTGCCTCTACCTTCTTACCATTTCCCCAATCCCCAAGTCCTTATTTATTTCCTCCTCAGCCACGTTGTGGACATCCTCGGTCATTATTACCATTGCCTTCGAGTACCACTGCTCTATTTTACTGCGTCGAATCCAACATGCGGGCGGGGGCAATCTCTCTTAACATGCCCAAGTTCTCCACAATTATAAAAAATATGATCAAAAGGTCAACAGATGCCCGTCGAAGATGTAGCTCCCTATCTTTCAGGAGTTAAACTTTGAGACAGAGTTCCTGAATAATTACATGTAGAAGGGGGCATAGAGGAATGAATTGTCCGGGCTTCATTTGTCATCCTCCATGAACCTCTAGAGTAAGAACCCTAAAAGTTACATGTATTCTAAGCTTTATTAGCCAAAGCCTAAGCCTACTCATCATGTCTAACTCCGTCTACCTTTTATCGCAAATTCAGTCACCTTATTGAAGCTTTTTCCCGCCAAAGGTCATATGAATAGACAATGCACACAACTCAAAATGTAGTCCCTTAGCAAGTAGATGGACCCTCTCTTCCTTAGTAGTCTCCAATTGCATAGCATATCTAGACAAAATACTAAACTTTGTCTCATGAGCAGCCACATACATACAACCCTACTACAAATCCTTAACATATCACTCTTACGATCTCTCACAATTTGAGGCATATACTTCTCCAAGAACAAATCATGAAACTTGTCCATCTTAGTGGGGGTAAAGCTGACAATCTGCACTCCACATAAGCTCTCCACCACTACTTAGCCTCACCTTGAAGCTAAATAGTCACAAACTCTACTCCATGTTGATGAACAATCACCAACTTATGAAGCCTCTCATAAAAATCTAGAATGAACTCATAGGAATCCTCACTCTCGGAACCATGGAACACATATGGTTTGAATTTAAAGGACATAGTCAACATTAATGCTCATTATCGGTCATTATGGGACCAACAAAAGGATGGGAAAAGGCATGAATATCTAGAGTTCCACACACTTTGGCGACAACGATAGCAATAGGGGAATTGGCAGAAGCTTCAGTTACTTCAACTAAGGGAAGCATTCAGGGCAAACCAATACTCTTAGGAAAGAAATAATTTGTTAGATGACATTGGGTCTAAGGAAGGAATACTTGTAGTCTCAGCCTGCACCTCTTCCTCTTGTCGAACATCCTCCTCATTCTCAACCTTAACATTCTAATCTACCTCTTTATGACGCACATGAGGCACCTCATTTCTGGGAGCATTCTCAACTGGTGTTTCATCCCTAGTATGCACTACTTTTACTTGGCCTTTACTCGAACCTCGACCTACACCTCTTGCTTGGATTCATCAGTTGGCCAATTAACGGGATCTACGAGCCTGACGCCATGAAACCTAGTAATCACCATCTACAAATAGAAGAGAGACCTCTTGAAGTCCTATATCCACTCAAAGAAAAGTACAGACGTCTATGTAATGTTCTATAAAACTCTGCTAAAGACATTTTAGTACATCGACATCAATGGAACTAGGGTTTTGGTACAACCTTTGTTACGACCTCTACCATTGTCATTGTCACCAACACTAAACCTCTGATGGGAGAACCATTAATACTGATTAGCTCACCAAAAAACTAAAAAAACTTAATCGAATACTAGGCATTTAAAGATACGGAAGAAGGTTAAATGCATGAATCAAATAGAGTTCCCATAAACTGCAAAAGTCTAACAACAAGTAACAAAATATTGTAGAATTACTCCCTAGAGCCTAAAAGTCAATGTAGAAAAACCTTAACAAAGAAACATAAGTTTAAATAAAAGGGTACAATCCAATTTAACATACAAACGTCTAAAGTACGAATTTATGTCCAAATAAGGTGGACTGAGCAAATGGAGAACTCATGGTAGACTAGGAGAACTAGCTAACCTTTGAATTTTAATCAATCATTTTTCTTCTAAATGAGGTCTAACAGT